CCCGACCCGGAGCTCAGAAAATGGAGCAAGCGTGAACACATACACGTCTGAGCCAGAATCACACACACACCTCACAGCCCAGGTGTCTGGTCCACCTGACCTCTGCTTCTCTCCCCAGCACACCCCCGGTGGATCACTGGGCCCTGGCCAGTGGCCTCCCAACCTACGTGGCAGAAAATGGCTTTGTGAGTCCCCAGGGCCCTGCCCTGGCACCTGGTCTTCCTGCCAGCCTGCATGCACCTCCGCCAGCTCCCTGCTCCCCACTTTGCCTCCGTAGAAGCTCCCGGGCTGGACAGTCCCTTTCAGAACCACATTGTCCATGTGGCTAAGCAGCTGAAACTGTCTTCTGACCCTTTCCAGATATGTAACATTATGAATGCAGCTGCTGATGAGATGTTCAAATTCCAGGTATCTGTCTGTTTGTTAACAGAAAAGGTATTGTGCTTAGGAAATAAGGTGTCGTGGCTCAGAAATGATGGTTGGCGCCCTGGCCAGTTTGACTCAGTGACTGGAGCACTGGACCGTGGACTGAGGTGTCCCGGGTTCTATTCTGGCTGAGGGCAGGTACCTCAGTTGCAGGCTCGATCCCCAGTTCTGTGCAGGAGGCAACCAGTCGATGTTTCTCTCTCCTCCCCCTTCCACTGTCTCTGAAAAGCAACGGAAAAAATACCCTCAGGTGAGGGTTAACAAAAAAAAAAAAAAAGGTTAAAGTTAGTTTTTGCTGCTTAAGATACAACCTCAAAATCTCCGCGACGAACAGCAGCAAATACAATACAGGGTGCCCCCAAAAATGTAGATACACTTTGACAGTTGACAACTCACTTAATTTTCACTCCTTTTCAGTGTTAATAAACACTGGCTTTATAATACTCAAAGTGTGTCTGCATTTTGGGGGGACACCCTGTATTTCACACTCACATGTCTGCCAGTTTGCTGGGCGCAGGTGGAGCCAGCAAGGGCTCACATCTGCTCCCTTCACCCTCACCTGGGGCCCCGGCCCAGGGCTCTTCTCTGGAAGAGGCGAGCTCCGAGGGGGCCAGTGGAAGTGGGCTTTGTCGCTAAGGGCTCCTCTGGGAACTGGCCAGTGTTCCTATCTCACTGGCCAGGCACCAGCAGCAGCGAGGGAGGACCAGCTGCAGGGTGTGTGGAACGTGCGAGCCCTGGGAGTAGGGCCCTGTGTGATGGGAGCACTAACACGGTGACATGCCCTGCGGGGA